ATATTCCATGTTAAACTTTTGTAATCCATAATGAGGCCAAAAATTTAGAAAAGTCAATACCCATAGTACCTAGTTTAGTAACATCTCTTTCAGCATCTTTTTGTGTCTGTTGTAATTTTGGAGCAGTCTTCTCTGTAACCTCCATCTGAACCTCTTCCTCCTTTAATTTTTCCAAAAATCTCTTGTCTTTTGAACAGAATTCAGTCAAAATCTCTATTGTTTAAAAGTAAAAATCACACCTTCTAATTGCAATACCAGAGAGAAAGGAAAATGGGAGGCAGCTGATGAGACCAGCGTAGTTGCATAAAGAGCTCTCTGATAAGCTAAGAAACAAAAAGGACAAGTTTACAAAATGGAAAGAGGACTATAAAACAAATACAAAATATCAGGAAATACCCTAAATCTGTAAGGATGGGGTCAGGAAAGCTAAATCTTAGAATGATCTGAGACTTGCAATGAATGCCAAAAATAACACAAAAGGATTCTTTGCATACGTGCAGAGCAAGAGGAAAGTCAAGGAAATGGTCGGTCTGTTTGCTGGAGAAGAGGGCAAGATGGTGATCACAACAGGCAGAGGGTTGAAACTGTTTAATTCCTATTCTGCATCTACTTTTGCAAAAGGAAGAAATGGTCCAGCCAGTCAAAAGCTGTGCCGTGGGAGGAAGAAGAGAAATGCAGGTCAAAATAGGCCAAAAAGTGATGAGAGAGCACCTAGCTGTTTTGAATGAATTCAAGATACTAGGGCAGGATGGATTTCATCCCAGGGTGATAAAGGAGCCGGTGGATGTGATCTCAGGACCACTGATTCTAATCTTTGAGAAACTCTAGAGTACAGGGGAAGTGCAAGAAGGTTGGAGAAGAGTTAATATTTTCCAGTCTTTTAAAAAGGGAAAAAGTGGACCCAGGAAACTACAGACTAACAGCTTAACATCAATAATTGGGAAAATCCTAGAAAAGATCAAGCAGTGGGATTGCAAGAAAGCTAGCTGGATTATAGGAGGCGATCTCCAGCAGAACTGAAAGGTGTTAAACTGGGAGTCATAAGGTGGAACGCTGTAAGTAAAAAAAAAATCTGTTTCATTGGAAAAACATGTTTTTAGTACACTGAGCCTCTGGGAGGTTCCTTTCCAAGACACTGACAAGTCTGTAAGGCTTTGATACCCATTGCTGTGAAGCAAAGCCAGGTGACTGCAGTGAAATTGAAAGCAGAGGCAATAAAAGCAGGATAGGAATCAGGAAAAGGAAATGTTCATATCAGTGAAGTTTTCTGCTGATTCAAGGATGAATGGAGAGCATTTCAACTTAGAAGTAGGGAACAGAACTTATTTTGAGCATACATGCAAATTCAAATCTGCTTGTTCATTTGCAGCATTTTGCCAATTAAGAAAAGTTCTATCTGAACTCTGTTTCACTTTTGGACTATCTGCTTCCAGATTCTTCACAAATATGGATTTTAACATGGAATGGGACACAGGTTCCTTCTTCTGCAGTGTCATCTGCTAGCCACTTTCAGAAAGGGATGTTGAGTTACAAATCCATGCAGAAGCAGTCCTTCCCTCCAAAATGTGACCCGGTTTAGCTAACAAGGATAGGAGCAAGAGAAGAGAGAGAAACACAACACTTTAAATGTCAGGTTGCATGGCTCTTACCACTAAGGGTTGTTCATTTATGCAGATGAAATTCATAATCAATGGAAGAACACAGAGGTTTTTAAAAGCCTCCATCCTTCACCCATCTAATTAGTTTTATTTTGTAAAATATAAAATGGAAGCCATCAAAGCATCTTTATGGAGAACAAAGAATGAAAGGAATAAGGAATAATTGGGTATGAATGATTAATAAACATGAACTTATGCCTTGATAATCACATTGTTTGGCTTACTCTGACATTGTTCAGAATGTATAACTACTGTAGCCATCTACAGTATACATTTCAAAATGTTTAATTTTACATGTCTTCAGTTCATATTCATGATTCTATACAGAAGTACAGTTTTTAAAATTGATGACCCACTACTTGCTGCAATTTGGGCTGCTGAGAGGTATATCAGATCAGGCTATGATGCTGAAATGGGGAAAAAATTAATATTAAACAATTCTTATATCCAAGAATCCCTCCAAAGTATGTAATTCTTCCCCTACCCATTAAACTTTTACATTTAGCAAAATCACCATTTTCTGTCAAATTTCATGGGCAAACATCACCCCTGAATTTTGGTACAAGTTGCCCTTGCCTACATTAAATGAAAGATTTTCTGGGATATTTATTTATTTAAACTATCTGGCCCTTCATTAACTCGTCCAAGGTTAAGGAAGAAAATACACAAGGAAGGTTAAGGAAGAAAAATATAGAAATCATGCTACAGCATTTTATGGCACGTGCTTATTATATGTCAGTGCAATCTTAATTCTAGTAAAGTACTTATTTAAGAATGGGTATTTCTCATCTCTGTACCCATTATACTTTCTAATGTCTATTTATTATGATACAGATTTCATTATATTTAGGGTGCAATAGACATCTCGCTTAAGAGAACTACCTTTTTTTGCCAAAGCCAAAGCCACAGCCACAATCCAAAGAATGGGGTGCCTCTGAGTGCCCGTTGCTTCAAGCCTAATTTTTGTATTTAGCTCCAAGACTGAGATGCATTAAAAACAATATCCACTCCTGCTTCTTCATTAATTCTATGTTCAGCAGCCTAATTTTCAGAGAAACCCCCATTTCTGTGGCCGCTGTTCAACATCTAGGAGCACAGTACCATTAGAGTTTTGTGACAAATTGCTGAAAGTGGGTCCTGCTAATCCTGACAATTCACATTAAAAGTGAAGAATAGGAATGATCTCACAAAGGCCGTTCTAACACTATACAATGTCACTGAGCTACTGCTGTGCCGACATGAAATTGGCCTTGATTAGTGATATATTGCCACAGCAATGGCTGGATGATGTCCTAAGGTCTTATAACTCACTCGTGTAAAAATGGCAAAGAATTTTTCTGTGTCCACATGCTCCCAACTAACATTAGAACTGGGCTTGAGAGAAGACAAATGCATTATGCACATAGACAGTCCTAGCTTCCTGATAAATATGTGAGGTCGTGCCTTCATGTGTAACTTCTTAAAATCTATATGAGCAAATGAAAAGGTCTTCAGCTAGGTGAGCCTCCCAGGAAATGTTTCCTCCAGTAATCATTCAATATAGCTCAGTGGTCAGAGAATCCAGAGAAGGTCTTCTCATGAAGACCTGGGGACGTGGTCAAAGTATATAAGGACATGTTATCAGATACTCATTCCCTTTGAAGGGATTTGAAGATCAAACACAGCATTTTGAATAGATGTCAGAAACAGACTAGGGGCCAGTATAAGGATTATACAACAATCCCTTGATCCTTGTGGAATCTGCTTCCCCTGCCCCTGGTATCCTCTTATCCATGAAATGGGAAAGGCACTCATATTTGGGTTAAGATTCTTGAATATTGTACTGTATACATGTGCACATTTGCTAGTGAATAGTATGGTGAGGTAGTAGTAGAACCAGCTTTTCATATACATTGCATTCCTTACAGTAAATTTACAAAACAGAAGCAAATTCTTATAAACAGATCTTCCTTACTCCTAGATTGGCATGAATCTGATGAAGTTGACTTGAATCTCTAAAATATGTGCTATAATGCAATGTTTTAGCCTTTGAGAGGCTCCAAGACTTGAGCAAGGAAGAAACAACTTCCAATCTAATGATACACACACACAATCTTACAAGCTTTTTGTTATTGCAAGATGGAGGCTTGCTAGATAAAACAGCAGCAAAGGGGCAAGAGAGAAAAATGCTCTACTATCTTGGCTTGGGAAGCAGTGATTCTCTACTGCAGTGTTTCTCAACCTTGGCAACTTTAAGATGTGTGGGCTTCAACTCCCAGAATTCCCTGGCTGGGGAATTCTGGGAGTTGAAGTCCACACATCTTAAAGTTGCCAAGGTTGAGAAACACTGCTCTACTGCTTTATCTGTGGAGATGTAGCTATGACATGAACTAAGACTGACCTCTAGTGGAACTATCCAGCACTTCAACTCATTTCTGTTTTCCTTCATCTGAGAATAACTTTTGTGTCATTTTAAAAAAAGTTCCTTAGCTTTGTGTACTCATATTTCCTACTGAGGACTCCCACAATGGAGGAAAAATGCATTCACAGGGATCAGCTTTTGTGGATTAGCTTCTATTTCAAATGATATATGAAGTGTTATCTTCAGTTACTATGAAAAATGTAATAACTGTTGGATCTTTTCACAACATCAAACTTTCTGTGGATTCTGGCAAAAGATGTTTACAACAAGCCACTTGGTAGAAAGGGGCTGGTTAAAAACAAATGAAGTGGCTTTGGACCCCTGATCTATTTAGTTCAACATTATCTCCGTTGCAGTGCCAAAAACTGAACCTGGGATCAATTCCTGGTTTTGCAGTGGAGACAAAGTATGTACCCTTCCTTACTGACCCTCCCCTAAATAACTTGATAAAAGGATATAGGAATACTGTGATGGAAATGTGAGTCCCAGCTTCTGTTTGGCTAACACCAAAAATGCCAATATGAGTACACAGAAGTACATGATCATATATTTGCTGTAAACGAGAACACAATTCCCTGCTGGTAATATCATATGCCTCTAATTGCTACAAAAGGCAGAGTTTTGTTTTTAGAGGAATTACTCAGCCAATGTAATCTTAACTTGCATGTTATTGTGATGTCATGAAACCATCATATTTATCTCACTGTAGAGTTCCTATTATGACATCACACACTGGAGGTCAGGCAGATAATATTCACACACCACAGAAGTGCATTGGAAAGACAGAATGGATACTACTTTGATCTTGGCATGCTGAAAGCAGAGTGTTTTTTGTGTTTGTAATTTTTTGGTATTGAGTTTTGGTGTCCACAATAAGTTAGAAGAAGAAGCCAACAGAATTCTTTCAGAATACTTCCAATTATCACATTATTCTTTCAGTGATGAATGGGAAACGCTCTGTGCAAAGATGTCCAGGTCAAGCAACACAAGGATTTCAAGAGAACTCAACTGTTCAAGATAATAGTTCCAATGAGACAACAGGATCAGGAGGGACCCAGTCAAATAGGTAAAGAGAATGTATGCATTTATATTTAGGTAATGTAACATAATAAATATATCTGTGAAGAAGAATCTAGGACAGTCTTCTTCAAATTAATGTTCTTATTTTGAGGCTTCAATTCCCAGAACTCCCAGCCAGCACAACCAACAACTCTCTCAATTTTCCAGTCAGCTGCAGTTGTACAGTATAGCTTCTTGCAGACTGAGAAGACATTATCAATAATTATATGACTGAACATATGCCATTGCAATTCACCAATTGGTTGTAAATGATTCTCTGAATTGCATCACTGGGTTTCCAAATATGTTCACTTAGCTCTTGAGTTTCTTCAATCTTACCCAGGAATCCTTGACCTTACCCTGAGAGGGTCAGCAACAAAGATGAGTTGCCGAAAGGCCAGTATTTCTTTTCCACTATGCCATACAACAGTAGGGAAGTTTTGAGTGCATTTTAGAATTCATATTCAATTTGCCATAGTTTGGCATCTGGGCCAAACTAGCCTGGCCATATCCCTGGGCAAAATATAAGTGTGTTTCTTATCATACTTTTCAATTTTCTGCAATGAACAATGATTCTGCAACCACTGCACAATAATTCCTTTAGCAAACAGTGGTAGAGAGGGTTTCCTAGGAATAATATATTCAAAGGTACATAGGAGTATCAGATACCAGAACATTATTTATGTAAGATAAAAATGACTTGTGAAAAGGTGCTCCATGCCATATACTGAAATATACCTTAATATAATAAAACTGTAAACATTCAAAAGAAGAGACTGGAAATCACTACATCAATCAATCAACGAACAACAGACTGTGTAATGTGATGAACATGGAATTTGGCATTTCTTAAAATCTTATTTATAGCACCCAACATCCCACCCTTTCTCCAAGAAATTCAAGGCAGGGTGTATGATATTATTGAGAAACTGGACTGTAGAGTCATCTGGATATGAAGGGGGAAAAGTGACTCAGAGCATGTGAGGGTGCCCAAGAGGACCTACTGGCACTTCCTTAAATCAAATATATCTTTTCCTGTGATTTCATGGTAGGAACCAGAGGAAGAAAAAGAAACTTGTTTAAAGAAGTGCTAACAGATACTACTAGAGCATCTCCACCTGTCCGAGTCATCTTTTCTCCTTCAGATTTGGATGGCTTCACATTCTACTGAGAAGCTCAACTGTGATAGCTTTATGCCTCCATAGTTTATACGCTGCATTTTGCTAACATCAGCTTACCTAATAAGTATTACATTTTTGAATAAGGCTGAATGGATTATAGATGCGTGGCAAATAGGTCTTAGGTGAGTGGCTGATTTTCATTTGCAATGTATTGAACTTAGTGTCCTCTGTTTTAACTCAGTCAAGAGAACTGACCTGCTACAGTATGTGAACTCTGAATAAATGTAAAAAATGTACTAATAACCAATCTATTGTGCCAGCAAGACACCCACTTTATACTGATCAGTTTAGAACCAAGATGGGCAAACATTTTTCAGCTTGGGAACACTTGATGAAAAGATGGCCTGCTGGGTTGCACTTGACAAGAAAAATCATGCCTTCAGAGAGGCTAGAGCAGGGGTTCCTAAATGTTTTGCCATCACATCTCCCTTTAGTGTAATCGTAATGTACACACCTCACCTAAAAATCCAAATACCAACATGAACACAAATGAACAATGAAAACAATACAATAAAACTTTGGGAAAGGTGGATTTATTGTAACAATGGAACTAAAAGGTTCTTCACACCTCCCCTGGACTGTCTGCACCTCCCCATGGGAGGTACACCTCACAGTTTGAGAAAACATGGGCTAGGGCCAACATTTGGGAATAGTAAATACTACAAACTCTGGTATAGCACTTTCATTGCAATATCCTCTGTTGCCACAATGGATGGAACTAAGGAACACCATTCAAGATCGTGTAACAGTATCTTAAGATAATGTGTTATATTTCAGGCAGCCTCCATATCACAACTATAAAGCATGAATAAAGGGTTACTATTTTTCATTGTAATGACAAATGGTGCTAAACTTAATGTGTAAATTTGAAGAGTATTGGAGATCATTTGTAACTCTCCTTTCAGCTGGTACCTGCGTAATTCTACAAGAGGTTGCCCCAGGATGTCTACTACCTCATCTAGCCAGATGACTTCAATCTGTGAAGAGGGAGAAGAAAATGGGAGTGAGTACAAGAAACATTTAGCCATTGGATGCCCATTTATGGTTAGAGGCTGGAGATAAAAAGCAGAAAAACATTTCAGGATTGCAACTTGAACCTTTTGCTAATTTAGTTCTATATATACAAATCCACTAAAGAGTTAAAAGCTCCAGTATCGGCCTCACAATGCATAATTGTGCAGTTTCCCTCACATCTTCTCCATAGCGGTGGATCTAATCAAGAGGGCCAAGACATACAAATAGGAAAGGAAAGAGCAAGATCCAGATGGAAGTGAAAGTAACCGCTGCCAATCCAATCCGCAGACTAGACACATTTAAACTCAAGGCAGAAACTGTTGATATCGGATGATAGTGATGATTGGCTAACGAGATGGGTTTTCCTTGACAGGAGATTTGTCAAACAGAGGGCAAATAATATTTACCAGAGAAGTCATTGGAAGGGAGGCCAGCTCTAGCACCTTCTCATCTAATTCTTCGGCTGCATCTGAACAGAGTGTGCTGAGTATGTATCTAGCAGTTCCACTTCCCTACAGCTTTCCTAAAAATATGGTGCATTTGACTGCTAAAATTCTTCAAGCAGAGGCTAGACGGCCTTCAATCAGGGATGGAAGTTAGTCTTCCAAGACACCTTCCAACTCTAGAATCTAATGATGGCCAAATATTGTTATATCTTTGAGAGGTGGAATAATATGGAAGCAAGATGTTTCCACTGGTGGTGCTCATGCTTTTCTGGGGTACTAGATCTGTAGTACAGAATCAAAAATCCTCTTGCATGTTCTTCTAAACATATAGTAAGCTCTAAATGCAAGAATGACAGAGGTGAGAATACCCTCATCAATCTTTCTCATCTACAACTTCCTGTATGTGGAAAGGGACAGTGTGTCTCAGAAAACTTCCATTATTAAGGCTACCCACTGGACACAATAATTTTCTTCCTGATGTGTACAGCTTAAAATATATTGTAGGATTCAAGAAGCCCTAATCTTTTCTGGATTGCACCTATAGCCAGTAGTGATTGGCTATATTTACATAAGCTGCTGTATTTCAGATTAACCCACCACATTGTATAATTCTGCACACCAGTAATTTGGAGACCCTTGTCTGTTAAATTGGGATGCAGATCTAGATCCCAATGCAACTGAACATTTTATCTTTAGTTTTAATGTTGACTAGACCTACCACTTATTCAGAAAAATATGGTTTGATCTTACATCTCATGCTGTGACATGATGAATCATAATAGCAACAGCATAAATGGCAAGAAATAGTAGTAACTGGTGTATTTGCTAAGAGTTTGAATTGTAAATTTACAAGTCTCATTTAATTCTTTTCTTTATTAGGAACATATTAATTATCTTCATACCTACAGCCCTCAGCAGATCAGATGACCAAAAAAGTATATTCCCATTTACTTTACAAACCTTCAGAAATAACTCCTTACATGTTTTGTGAATTGTTCTGTCTCACAGAAACCATATGCGGTATTCCCAGCCTTATGGCATTTACTATTATCTGCCTCTTTCAAAACCTTTTACAACCCTGCGTCTTTGTAAGGTAAGTAGCAGCATAAAAATGTTCAGAAGCTGCTTTTGGAAAGAAATCAAAATCAAGACAGCTAACTTTGCATCTGATAGTCTTCTCCATTTCAGAAACCTTGGGAGGGATGGAGGTTGGAAATGTCATATATTAAACTATCTTGTCTTATGCAAGAATTTAAATAGACTAAAGAGTTTTTACCCGAACACTTCTTTAATTTTAATTATTTTGCTTAATATATTTTAAGTAATTTTTAAATTTTACAATAAAATGATTTTTATTAGTATTTATTATGTATAAATTTATAATATATTATTATATAATAATTTATTATTGTGTATAGTTTTATGAAATAAAATTATTTCATTTATTCCACCACTTTACTGTATTTTAACTATGCATTTTACACACACATTAATTATCCTGCAATTAACTTTCCCCCTTCCTTGGCTCTTAAAGTGCTCTCTGCAACAGACTCTGCAAGGTCTCATTAGCAGTTCTCCTTTCACTCTCTTCCTGGTCCTAAGTCCCTCCCCCAAACTGAGCTTCCAGCTTACTTCTCTTAGCTTCTCCAAACCTCTAACCTTCATCCAACTCACAGGGCAATTTCTTTGGTGATGAAAGCTGCCAACTTTGCCTTATCCTCACTGGCTGAGATACCTACTGTCCTCCTTTGCATGGATTCAAGTTGCCTCTGTCCTCCATTAGCAGCAGGAAGAAAGAAAGGGCTTGTTATCTCCCCCTTTATGGCTTACTCACAAGTAGTCTTTCTGCTGATCCTGCTCTTAGTTTTCAACAACCCTTCTTTTTCTTTTCCTCTCTCCCTCTTCTGCTTTTCCACATCTCAAATGTGAGATCTTTACATGCTTCTGAGCTCATTCTTTGCCTATTCCCAATACTCGCTTATTTCTCCTCCATTTTATTTTCCCTCCCTGACCTTCTTATAAACTATAATCCCAGAGTTCAGTGTCTAGCAAGAGCAAACTTGCTGTGATTTTAGCTTAAGTTTTTAACCTTTTCCTGGTTCGCACCAACTTCACTGCAATCCACTGGGCTTCATTACTGTGCCTATAAAATGAATGGTAGTCCTTTATACCTCTGGTAGCTACCAAGCCCAAACAGAAATGGCTCACTGTAGGTACAGACCAAAATCAGCAGTATGGATGGAGGGAGAAATAAGGTTGGGGTCAGCTGCTCAGATCACCATGCCACTGCTCAGGTCTATTACTGAGCAGAATCTTGGTACCCAAGCTATATAAAGTGATCTAAGGACTAAGAGGCTTAATTCACAATCATTTACTCACTGTGTGATGGGATCAGTACATATTTCAACAAAAAAATAGTGATGTTCATATTTGCTGAAGCTTTGATGTCTAGAAAAGGGAAGAGGCTATTAAGGCCCCTAGAAAGTCAGGTTATCGTGTTTGTAATAGGAGGTTTTGAGATGGACCAAGGACTGTAGCTTCTCTGAGAATCCCTTTAACTCTGAACATGGGGATGCACAGACCATTCAAAGAGCCTAAAGTGGTCTCGATATCTGGAGCGCACAGTTTGCATAAAAGATGTCCCCCCCCCCCCACATCAAGCCAGCTGATTTAAAAATGCTTGTAGATTGAATAATGGCCTAATAATTAAAAATTTATATGCAACCAGCACAGACCATGATGATATGCACAGGACAAAATATGTGTCATGATGTAAACCCTGGCCTTTCATACTCACATCCCAACATTGCATGAAAGTACAAAAGTCATGTGGTTTGCATGATAATACATATTTCATCATTTGCCCCCAACCTGTCAAGATGGCTGCCTCTTTCTGGTTAATTTTAGGTTTCTCTCACTCAGCCAAGATGTGTGGAGGGCAGAGGGAATGGGCTTGAAGGACAGGAGATAGAGCCGCTACCAAGGCAACAGTTAGATAAGCGGCACTTGAGCCCAGGCCAAGAAAATAATGCAAGAAAACATCTCAGGCCCCTCCCTAGTTCACACGAAGATAAAGTAAGGGAGGAGAGAAACACATTCAGACCTGCAAGATTCTGTTGTTATAGCTTTACAGTAAAAGTAGTCCTGACTCATGGCATTGGTTTCTTAGTCTTGTCTACCTTATAGGGATGACAAGATGATGCCATCTTGCCTCAGGCTAATAGTCATTTAATCTGCTGTGTGCCTTCAATCTGAATTAGTTCCATCTGCCTCTGCTTCTGGCAATGTGAGGAAATTTTCCATATTAAAAAAAAAAAAATGTAATTAGCAGGTACAAGCTCTTCCCCCCAATTTGAGTCAGGATCAGAAGTCCCATTCTTTCTACACCACAATCTTAATCCAGTTGCCTCTGGTCTTTGCTTAAGAAAGTAAGAACCAGATAAGGTCAAGCAATGTAATAACCTGAGCGTTGCCTAGAGTTTGATGCATCAAAGCTTTCAATAAAACTTTAAAATCTCAGCTGGTATTTTCATGTCAGATCTTCTGCCGGACTGAATCCGAATTGAGGAGAGTCAAAAACTCTCAAATTTAGCTAACAGTAGCATGCAGACAATTTCTGATTCCATTTTTGGCATGTCCAGTCAAGTCTGGGAAAGATCCCCATGTGAAATCTAAGAATGCTGCTAACAACTTAAATAGGGCTGAACTGGTTGGACTCAATATAATACAGCTTCTTAGGTGTTTGTTCCCTCTCTCATGCAATTATGGATAGCCATAATACATGATGTGATATCATTGGCACTGGGGGTGGGGAAAGACCCTGTTGGATGATGTCACACCATGCATTGTTTTATGATAGACATCAAGCAAGGAAGAGAGGAGAAAGACCTGAAGTAGCAGCAACCCTTAAAATGACTTGTTAATGAACCTCTCTGGTTAGCCGTTATTCCTTTAGGGAGGGAGCCAGCAATGCCCCAGGATCTTTGCTGTTATCAAGATCCCTACTCTCATCCTTGCTGGTTCCCAAGAATTGTTCCCTCCATTTTAATGACCCTACCTTCCTCCTTAGAGAGCGGATCACTATGGCAAACTGTATGAAAGGTTTGAAACGCCTGATCATAGCTGTCCTGATCATTTGTGGTAAGTACTCATTGTTCCACTTGAAATTTGAGAAGCATCTGAATAGCGGGCAGGTTGTCATTACTCTGACATAAAAGGTTCTCATGTTGAGCATTTGAATGTCAGAAGTCCCAACATCTAGGGATAAAGGCAGCCAGCCAGAAGAGTTCAGCTGCAGATTCTTGCAGGGCAAAGACGCATGAAAGCACACAGCAGAAGTATCCAACCTACATGCAAGGGCGCATTACTGTACACCCTATGTCCACTCACCCTTTTCTCAGCAAATATAGATTTTCCTCCATCACTGAAAGAGGTTCTGTAAGAGCACATTTGGGTAGGTGATTGAAGTAGAAAAGGTTGGATGGCATGTATTGGATAGGGAGAAGTGAATTTTTGAATGCTCCCCCAAGTAGTAGGAAATGGCTATGTGTGGTGATAATACCTTTCTTGTGTACACTCCCGTATTCCCGTATTTTTATAAAACCAGTCTTCCAGCTGTTTCTGTTCTTTCAGTATGGAGGAGAGAAAGTGTTCAGTGTTCAGTAGAGTTGCCAAACCTCAGTGTAGGCAGGATTAATCTGCTTCTTGAAGAGTTTTGGGAAAAGAGGAGAACATGGAAGAGATGTCTTTCCTAAAACTTTTCTAGTCCGTTACATGTCTGCAGTCCTTCCAGGGGCACAAAAAGTGCTAAGGAAACTACATGGACATATCCATGGTCAACAGACATCAAACATAACTCAAAGGAGATTTTATATTTTTACTATTACACTTGATCTTAGCCAAAAGGCCAAGAAGCAATTATATTTTTACTAAACTGGACTCAAAAGGCTTGGCTGAGAGTTGCTGTAGACATTCTGTAATAAATCCCAGTTAAGAGATAGGTGGAAGTCATGTAATTTCAAATTGTACTTGCAATATTGTTGAGTGTGAAAAGGTGAGGCTACGAATATGCCCTTGAGTAATTCCCTCTGCATGAAATAACCAGGTTGAATCTTGGACATGAAGCTTCAAGTTAAAAGGCATTTGTAGAGTTAACTGTAGAAACTCTTCCCATTTAAGCAGGGTTGGATATTCCAGAGTAACTGCATAGCACCAGCCAGAGGGGTTTTTTTTTCTTATTTCTTACAGGTACCATTTACTGCTTTTATCAATACCTGAAAATATCAGATGGCCTATCATCAAAGGTAAATACCATTCCAGACATGGAAAGAAAATGGAAGTCATCAAAATTGTTTTAGGCCAGATTGGGCAACTTTTGGGGCTATAAGCACATGGGGAATTTGGGAAGCATGCAATGGACCCATGGAC